TAAGAAATAACTTAGAATTAGGTGGGAAGGGATGGGGAGAGGATCTGGAAGTACTTGGGAAAAGAGAAGAATATGATCACACAAATCCACTTGCCTGCCTCTGCCTGGTTTCAATGCAATATTTTAGCCAAGACAAGTGTATACCTTTGTAATCCCAGCACACAGGAGGCTGAGGCAGGTTAGCTGGGGCTATATGGGAAATTCCAGGCCAGTGTGAACTATACAGTGAGAATGTGTCTTAAATGATAGCCTATTTTTGCCATGAAAAGATATGTGTAAAGGAAGTGATTAATGATAGTTTGTTCTTCTTAATGAATTTTTGATGTTTAGGGAAAGTTACTCTATTGTTCTTATATTGTATTTTAAAAACAAACTGTGTATGACAGATCAATGACAGTTTATTTCCTCACCTTCAACAGTCTTTTCAATGTGTTTGAACTTAGATAAGTGGATAGTTTTAAGCAAGTAAAACTCTGAAAGTTCTCAGGTATAAGTTATAACCACCCACATTTACTTCAGAGATGGTTCATTCTATGCATAATATGAATATTCGCAAAGCCAATATTATTGGTGGTTGTTTGTTTGATATAAGGCCTCATTGTATAGCTCTGGTTAGTCTGTAACTTACTATATAGACCAAACTGGCCTGAAACTCACAAAGATACGCTTGCTTCTGCATCCTTAATGCTTGGATTAATGGCATGTGCCATCATGCCTGGTGAAGATAATAGTATTTCAAATTATTTCCAAGATCAAAACAGTACAGGAGTAATTGTGGATTGTACATAGATAACAATTAGGAAGGTATTTGGCTAATACTTTTACAGAACTTGTTTCTTTGGATTTTCTTTTCTTTCTTGTATTTTAATTCTTTGGAATTGCCCACATTGTGGAAGGGGCTTTTGAACTGTTGGAACTGATGAAACTGAAGACTTTCAGTAAGTCTTTAATGCTTTTATAACCATACCACACCTGGTAGTTCACTTCTTTGTGATCATTTAAAAATCTGTCATCAAGAGCTGGAGAGTGGTCAAGAGAACTTTTAGCTCTTTCAGGGGACCCTGGTTTGATTCCCAGCACCTTCATGGTGGTTCACAACCACCTGTAACTCCAGTTTCAAGGGATCTGATGCCACGTTCTGGCTTCTAAGGGTACCTACATAAATATGATACACACACATACACTGAAGGCACATATATAAGTATAAAATAGATCAATCCTTAAATTTTTTGTTATTTCCAATACAATGCTACTAAAAGCTCACCCTCCACCCTTAGAAAAAAAGTGATCTTGCTGCCTAAGGATACTTTTAGCTCTATAGCTGCCTTCCCCAGAGAAGGCTGAATTTGAAGATCTCTAAGAATCCTATAGATCCATGTATATATAGAAGGAATATGAGAGAAACATTTTAAATCTTACCATTTACCACTTTCTTATACAAGTGACACAATTTTAACAAAGGTTGTGCATGTACACTCTGTAAACCAGGCTGGCCTTGAACTCAAAGAGATCTGCCTGTTTTTTCATCTCTGCCTCTTCAATTAAATGAAATTAATCAAAAAGCAAAATATAATCCATTTCAGTCATATAGCTGTAAGGACAGATCTTACATACCGTAGCATTGACCATGCCCATTTGGATGTGGTCACAGATACATAGAATGTGTGGGGGATAAAAGAGCTGGGGGGTAAGGAGACACTCTTTTTGGGTTTTGGTCGATTCTCAGGGAGCAGCTAGCAGACCTTTGGTTCTTGACTTTCTTGGCTTCTCATGTAAGTGACTTCTCCCTCAATAAATGTCATAGGACATCCCTACTTTGTGTAGCTTAATATTTCTGCAATATATAGCCATGAGAAAAGCATGAGTTTTATAGGTGAGTATGGAGAGGTGATTCAAAAGAAAGAGAATAGGGGTGGTCTGAGTGGGAAGAGCCACACTTGAAATGGTTTTACATTGTTCCCTGACTAAAGACAATGCAAGGAAGTAATGGGCCTATGGACCTGATTCTTTCTGAACATGCTTAACATTAGAGTGGGAACAAAGGGAGTAAAGTAGCATACAACTTAAGAAACAGATACAAATTAGCCAGGAAGTAGACATTTGAGACCCTCTTTCTTAAACTGGAGCATTCCTAAGAGGTTTAAAACACTTGTGATGGCAAGGCTTAATTTTTCAAAATTATTAGCTTGGGCAAGGTTTTAGTAGTTCTCCCATTCCACCCTTCTCCTTGTTTCTCTTCCTCCTTCCTTGCCTTACTTATTTCCATCCCTTTTTTGACCCATTTGTACATGACCAAGCAAGACCAAGGGATTTAAGGTCCCAGAAACTCAAGCCATCAAAAGTCAACCATCGACAGTGGCTCTTGAGTTGATTGTCTTATTACAGTAAGCATTAAAGATGCAAGGCAGGTCGGATGGAGGTGGCGCACGCCTTTAATACCAGCACTCGGGAAGCAGAGGCAGGTGGATCTCTGTGAGTTCAAGACCAGCCTGGTTTGCAAGAGCTAGTTCCAGGACAGCCTCCAAAGCCACAGAGAAACCCTGTCTCAAAAACAAAACAAAACAAAACAAAACAAAAAGATGCAAGGCATTTGTATAAGTGAAGCAGATGTTTTATTGAGAGAAATTAAGAGAATATGAAAGGAACTCCCGAGTGTAGGAGGGGTTCCTAAATAGAAAAAATTCATTAAACTTTATGTCCAGGAAGTTTTATAGGATTTATGACAAAATTAAGTTAATTTTATTAGTTGGCCAAAAGAAAGTGCTCTGTGTTTGTTCTCCTGGCTCAACCAGAGAGATGATCATATTCTATTCACATACGGCCCACCCAGTTAAGGGGTAGTTAGAGTCCTCCTCTGTTCATCTCTGATTCCTGCTTCATTAACTGCCAGCCTTGTCTGCTAGTCATTGGCCCACTAGTCATCATCCTTGTGGGTATCTTGATACTTATGTTCTATACTATGTTCTTTTTGTTCGCACACTTTTGTGGTCAGCTTAAGGCTTCACCATAGAAATAACCCTAATCACAGCTACCAAGTTGTAACTGCAGTTGTTCTTGGTTGTTTAATATTTAAGAACTTGCTCACAGAGCATTCTGGGAGTCTCTTTTCTGAAACATATGGACACTTTTCACCCATAATTTACTGTTACAATTAGTTGTGTCTGGATCAACAATATGTGAAAGGGCAATAGTGTCTAGCACATATTCCTTGGGGAATAGGACTTGGGGGGACCAGTAGGCCTACTAACACTGACTCAAAAAACCATCTTTCCTCCCATCAGTTTGGTGTTCTCATGCCCATATGCAAGCCCTTTTGCCTTTTTTAGTGTTTCCAATGTTACAGTTCTTCTTTTAAAAGGTCTATTTAAAAATATGTGTGTGTGTCTGTGTCTCTGTGTGTGTGTGTGTGTGTGTGCCTGCATGAGTTTGTGGATACCACCTATGTGCAGAAACTGGTAAAGGCCAGAAGAGGGAGTTATATCCCTTGGAATTGGAGCTAAAGGCCATGGTGAGTAGCCATGTAGGTGTTGGGAATTAAATCTTGGTCTTCCGATAAAGTAGTTCAGTACTTTAAACTGCTGAGCCATTTATCCAGCTCTCAACTTTACTCTTTTGGTCCTAGCCTTCCTTTGGACCCCAACATGTGTTTTCATTGTAATGTTTATAATCAATGTGTAGTTTTCATCATGGTCCCCTTGCTCTTACTATCTGCAGTAAGTTAGTTGCTGACTTAATTACAACACTTAGAGTTCATCAAGTTCCAGGAGTGTGTGCTGCAGGTTGGACCCTCCATGATTGCAATCTCTAGAGAAGGAGATGATCTTAGAACTGGTCATTAGGAATTTTTCTAAGTCATTCCAAAGCAAGCAAAATTGAGAATCTTAGTCAGTTTAGAGTCCATAACAAACTACCATAAACTGAGTGTCTTGTAATTAGCAAATTTATTTCTCATGGCTCTGAAGTATGGGAAGTTCAAACTTAAGGCAGCAGCAGATGTCTAGTGAGGGCCAACTCTATAATTCATGGATGGAAACTTTTTGCAGTGTCTCACAGGGCAGAAGCGCCCTCTTCAGCAACGTATAAATGATGTGTTCTATTTTTATGACCTCCCTACCACCCAAGAACTCTATAACGATACTATACATCACTAGGTCTCAACCATATGAATTTGGGGCAAATACAAGCATTCAATCCATAGTACAGAGCAATTTCCAACAAGCACTATGTCCTATAGAGAAAGACAAAGTCTTAGACAGCAAATTTTCCACATAAATATTAAAAAGTAAAGCTGGGGGTGTTGCTCAGTAGCAGAGAGTTTGCCTGGCATGTGCAAGGTTCTCGATTCCATTACCAGCACCACATATCCCATCCCCAACTTAAAATTACTATACTGGGAATATAGTTCTATGGTGAAAGATATGCCTAGTATTCACAGTCCTGTGTTTGATCCCCAACCCTGAAAATAAAAATTAAACATATACTTCCAGGGGCTGAAGAGAGAGCTCAGTGGATAAGAGCTCTCTCAGAGGATCCAGTTTCTATTCTCAGCATCCACATGACACCTCAGAACTGTAACTCCACTTCCAGGGCATCTCTCTTCTGGCCTCTTTGGGCACCAGGCTCACAAGTGGTGCACGAGCATATATGGAGGCAAAACACTTGTATAATAAAGCAATAATAAAAAATAAATTAATTAAAAATACATTTCCACGTGGTAACAAAGCTCATTGGTAGACCACTTGGGTAGCACACATAATACTCTGGGTTTACTCCACAGCACTGAAAAAAAAAGGTATGTAAATAATGTCAAATTGGTCCTTTCATTGAGAGCTAATTCAGGAGAAAGAGCAGTTCAGGTTATCTATCTTAAAATTTATTTCTAGATATTTATGAGCATGTATAGTTCCCATCTAGATAACCACATATAAATATGATATACCAAATGAATCTTGTGCCAACGAGATGCAATAATAAATACAACAATAATTGGTTATGCCATGAATTTAATTGCCTTCAAGACAGATAGGTCTATTCTTGATAGTGATTACATGTGGGTATCCTGTATATAGGTTAAATTGTTTTAAGTCCTTAATAAGGTGAGGTGCTTCTAGTCACGTCATCCTCATTATTACTTGTGTCACAAATAATGACTATCTCTGCATCACTGTCTTCACTATTGTATGCTTTCATAGTATCATTACTCTCATCTTGACAAGAATTGTATTCTGTTTCACTGTATGTGTAATCTGTTTCGTAAAAAGATTTGGGAGATGGCTTCATTTTCTTTGAAACATAAGGATTTCCAGCATTTTCCATCTGTGGCCCCAAAAGATCGTTGGGAAGAAATTCAGGAGTATTACAAATGAGACATTTTTCATTATAATGTCGGCAAGTTTTGACTGATGGAGGATTTCCTCTAATCATTGGCGGTTTTAGATCATGTTGTCCACATGACTGATTCTGCTTCTTTATTCTGGATGACTTGGTGGGCACCATTCGATTATTTGAGGCTGATGAACAAGATGGTGTGGTTATCATAGATGAAGTTTGCAGAATAGCTAGCCAAGGTGGTATGGTTTGCTTCTCTGAAGAGGATGAATTGGCTTGACAAGCTAATTTACAGGCATGTGTGAGCTTATGTGTTTTTTTAAGGCTGTGTTTCTTATATGACTTATCTAGGTGAAATGTCTTATGTAATCGTTGGGGGCTTGATGACTTGGTTGACCTTTTTGAATCTAATTGTCTGCCCAACTTTTTTACACTACCTGGTGTGGGTAGCTTATCTGTATTTGAGTATTTCGTTGGTTTTTGTGCATTGGGTGGTGTACATGGCTTTTCTAGACTTGGAGGCTGAGTTGATTTTACTGCATTGTTTGTTATAGATTGTTTTTCTTGGCATGAAGGCACAGAAGTGTGGTCTGAATTTACTAGCAGAGGTTGAGTTTCTAGAATGTCCTCAGTTATCATATCAGGTTGACAAGCTGATACCTTGGATACCCAGGATGATATAGCAGCCATATTTTCTTTGTTGAGCCTGAAATGCAGAAAACTTGGGATGCCATGATTTAAAAAAAAGTGCTATTGCTATCATCAGAAAATATAATGCTAGCTTAGAGTATGGGTATTTTTCCATAGTAAAAGTAAATACAGTAACAATTAGGGTGTGCTGACAGCTGTAACTCATGTTACACATATGAATTCATAAATAATTTTCCCTAAAGAATACTTTCACTATTTCAAAAGCATTAGATAACTTATAGTTAATGTATGGGATGACACTAAGTTGTCAATAATAATAAAGATGTGGTACATATACATAAAATATAAAAAATTGAATTTACAGGAGAAATGGATGGATCTGTACATGAGTAACCTAGGATAAAAGGGACAAATTCCACTAGTTCTCCCTCATATGAGGATCCTAGCTTTGGTTCATTATATTTAGTGGCATACCTGTGTAGAAGAGGAAACAAAAAAAAACTAATGTGTGTGTGTGTGTGTGTGTGTGTGTGTGTGTGTGTGTGTGTGTGTGCAGGCGGTGTGTGTTCCTTAGGGAGGGAGGGTAGTAGAACATAGACATAAAGAAGGAGAGACTCTTAGTGGAAATGTTTAAGCAGGGAGGTAGAGAGAGGGGGAATTGGGGAGATGAAGGTGTGGGATGGAGGAGGATTAACTGGAATAAAGGGAGTATAAAGAAACCTTCGGAAAGCTTGTTACACCTGTTCTAATTGGTCTTAATGCAACCTGAAGTCAGGCAGTGGTGGTGCATGCCTTTAATCCCAGCAAGGGGGAAGCCGAGGTAGGCGGATCTCTGTGAGTTCCAGGCCAGCCTGGTCTACAGAGTGAGTTACAGGACAGGCTCCAAAGCTACAGAAAAACCCTGTCTCGAAAAACCAAAATAATAATAATAATAATAATAATAATAATAATAATAACAACCTGGAGCAGGATATCCGGGTAAATGCTAAGAGTTCGGAGAGACAAAGGAGCAAGCCACTGTCACCTCTTAACAGCCAAAAAGGGCCAAGCTTCTATCTTTGCCTCACCTTATCAACTCCTGTCTGTCTGTACAGACCTGCAGATCTCTAGTGACTAGCCACTAGTCCTATCTTCTGATCTGCAGGCAAGTTTTGTCAGAGTACAAATAAAATAGCATCACAAAAACTAGATATATCCACCTATGCAATAACAGCTTTACTGTTGGAGTAGCAGGGGCTAACTAACCTCTCTCTGAATGGATTCTACATACTCTGTATGGGGGATGGGTAGCGGACCAGTAAGCTTGGCTAACAACTCAAGTAGAGGAGGTAGTATGCCCACAGGAGGAATGCACTTCTGTTGGTTAACTAAACTGATATACCAGCAGACTGCTTTTAAATATCTATGTGTATACCCACAGACAAGTTCAGCTTCAGCCTTAATCAAAGAGGCTTCTCCTTACATTGCCTACAGTGGAAAATGTATGAAATAAGCCATGGATGCGGATCTAGCCCCAGGCAAGTCACTTATACCACCAATTCTTACAACCAGAGAACACTGTGGAAGAGGTGGCCAGAAGTATTTAAGAGCTGGAAGATAAGGTGAAGGGCTAACACGAAAGGCCATTCCCTACACTTGATGATGCAACTACTCTAATCATTAACTCACATCAACTGTAGTTACCTGCACTAAGACCATGCCAAACACCACCGTCTCATTGTCCATCCACACTTAGGTGATACTGCAACAATCTATAGCCATCTGTCTTGGTCCCCTTGATTGATCTCCAGTGCATGAAAGTCAGTAAGAGTGGGGATCCTCGACCCTTCTATACCATTAATTTCATCCAAAAGTCACAGAGTGACTTGATGTCCATCTTCTAAAAGAGTTTACGGTCTCTTAAGGGGAAAATGTCAGGTAGTTAAACAGATAGTAGTTCTGGAGGCTATTGAAATGGGACACTTCCCTTCCATCTTCTTCCTCTTCCAAAGTTTACTATACTGAAGACATCCCCATGTCCCCTTGAGGAGGACACAGACCCTGTTCATTAAAAGATACAAAAATGGCAACTATTCCGTTTTTCACCTGTATAATCAAAAGTCAGGAAATGTTATCATTAGTCATGACATTTTGTAAACCTCCTACATTTTGATTAAACAGTGACAATTTTGGCAGCTAAAATAATCAGATTTCCAGAATGAAAGTGATTTGCTTCTCTAGATTCCAGCCTTCCTTTCTCTATCAACCTCTAGTAAGGGACCATCCATGAAAGACATTATTGATCACCTAACACCCTTGATCTAGCTCACTGGTTACCCTAGTCATTAACCAACTGTAAGTCATAAAAGGAATTTATTTGGGAGTCCATGGAGGCAGCTCTTCTGGTGGCGGCATCAGGTACAACAGGCCCTGCTTCTGGGCCTGTGTTCCAGTGCCTGGGGATCACCTGGGAACTGCACAGAGCTTCCAATCCCAGTGGAAGCCAAACACCCCAGACTCCAGGACTTCTTTCCCACCAACGAGACCAGGAAAACAGAGGAGCCAGGGAGACCAGGGGAGCAACTGTTCCGGCCACAGGATCAGGTACAACAGGATCCAGCAAAGGGGCCAGGGGACCAGGTGGGAGGCTAAGCGCCCCAGATTCCTGTTCTTCTTCTCCATCCATGAGACCAGAATGAGGACAAGGAATAGAAGAACCACCAGATTATTGTACTTGCTAGCACCCACCAAAAGGGAAGTCTGGTCCCCTAACCACCAGACCAGTAAGGGGCTCTTTCTGCACCCACTAGAAGAAGGGATGGGAAAGAGACAATACAAAAACACACTCATCAACAGAAAAACAAATATGACAACAACAGATTCGAGAAACTCCACACCAACAAGACTCCAACATTCCAATGCGAACGATGCAGAAGAGAATGACCTTAAAAACACTTTCATGAAAATGATAGAGGCCCTAAAAGAGGATATAGGAAAATCCCTCAAATGGAAGAAAAAACAAACCAAAAAATGCAAGAATTGGAAGAAAAACAAACCAAAAAATGCAAGAAATGGAAGAACAAACCAAAAAATTCATAAAAGGCAACAAATGGACGAAAAGAGAAACTGAAAATTGCAAGAAGCAATGCAAACACTGCAAGGGTTGAAAACTGAAATAGAGACAATAAAAAAACACAATCTGAAGAAAGGCAGGAAATAGAAAAGTTGGGCAAATGATCAGGTACTACTGATGCAAGCATTACCAACAGAATAGAAGAGATGGAAGAGAGAATCTCAAGTGTTGAAGATACACTAGGAGAAATGGATTCATCGACCAAAGAAAACCTTAAGTCCAACAAATCCTTAACACAAAACATCCAGGAAATATGGGACACCATGAAAAGACCAAATCTAAGAATAATAGGTATAGAAGAAGGAGAAGAAAACCACCTCCAAGGGGCAGAAAACATATTCAACAAAATCATAGAAGAAAACTTTCCCAACCTTAAGAAAGACATGCCAATGAAGGTACAAGAAGCTTACAGAACACCAAATAGACTGGACCACAAAAAAAGTCCCCTTGCCACATAATAATCAAGACCCCAAATATACAGAATAAAGAAAGAATATTAAGAGCAGCTAAGGAAACAGGCCAAGTAACATATAAAGGCAGACCTATCAGAATTACACCTGAGTTCTCCATGGAAACTCTGAAAACCAGAAGGTCCTGGATAGACATTCTACCAACACTAAGAGACCATGGATGCCAGCCCAGACTACTATACCCGGCAAAGCTCTCAATCACTATAGATGGAGAAAACAAGATATTCCATGACAAAACTAGATTCAAGCAATACATATCCACTAACCAAGCCCTACAGAAAGTTTTGGAAGGAAAACTCCAACCCAAGGAAGCTAACTACAACCAGAAAAACATAGGCATTAGAGAATCCCTCTCTCCCAACAGCCAAAAGAACAAAGGGGTGAAATTCCACATATAATTCCACCAACAACAACCATTGCAAATTGAAGAAGGATGAGCAATCAAAGGTCATTAATATCCCTCAACATTAATGGCCTTAACTCACCCATAAAAAGACACAGGCTAACAGAATGGATTCGAAGACAGAACCCTTCCTTCTGCTGCATACAAGAAACACACCTCACCCTCAAAGACAGACATTACCTCAGAGTTAAAGGTTGGGAAAAGATGTTTCAATCAAATGGACACAAGAAACAAGCAGGGGTAGCAATCCTAATATCTAACAAACTAGACTTTAAAATAAAATCAATCAAAAGAGATGAAGGAGGTCATTACATACTCATCACAGGAGAAATTCACCAAGATGAAGTTTCAATTCTGAACATCTATGCCCCAAATACAAAGGCATCCACATTCGTAAAAGAAACATTATTAGAACTTAAATCACATATAAAGCCCACACACAGTTATAGTGGGAGATTTCAACACACCATTCTCACCACTAGACAGGGATTCCAGACAGAAATTCAACAAAGAAGCAAAGGGTCTAATAGAAGTAATGACCCAACTGGGATTAACAGACATCTATAGAACATTTCATCCACATAAAAAAGAATATACCTTCTTCTCACCACCACATGGAACCTTCTCAAAAATTGACCACATACTTGACAACATATCAAACATCAGCAGCTACAAAAAATTGGAATAACTCCATGAGTCTTAACAGACCACCATGCTTTAAAATTAGAATTCAACAAAAACACAAATTGCAGAAAACCTACAAACTCATGGAAATTGAATAATGCTGAACTGCACCATTCCTGGGTCAAAGAAGAAATAAAAAAAGAAATTAAAGACTTCCTCAAATTCAATGAGAATGAAGACACAACATACCCAAACCTATGGGACACTTTGAAAGCAGTGCTATGGGGGAAGTTCATAGCACTAAGTGCCCACATGAATAAACTGGAGAATAGTTATACTACAGAATTAACAGCACAGCTGAAAGCTCTAGAACACAAAGAAGCAAACTCCCCGAGGAGGAGTAGACGCCAGGAAATAATCAAATTGAGGGCTCAAAACAATAAAGTAGAAACTAGGAAAACAATACAAAAAATCAATGCAACGAAGAGTTGGTTCTTTGAGAAAATCAACAAGATAGACAAACCTTTGTCCAAACTTACCAAACAGCAGAGAGTGAACATGAAAACTAACAAAATCAGAAATGAAAAGGGGGACATAACAACAGACTCTGAGGAAATCCAGAGAATCATCAGGTCATACGTTGAAAACCTGTACTCCACAAAATTCGAAAATTTAAAGGAAATGGATGACTTCCTGGATAGCTATCATTTGCCAAAACTAAATCAAGATCAGATAAGCAATTTAAATAGACATATAATCCCTATGGAAATAGAAGCAGTCATCAAAAGTCTACCAACCAAAAAAAGTGCAGGTCCAGACGGGCTCAGTGCAGAATTCTACCAGAAATTCAAAGAACAGCTTATACCAATTCTTCTCAAAGTATTCCACACAATAGAAGCAGAAGGGTCTTTGCCAAACTCTTTCTATGAGGCTTCAATAACATTGATCCCCAAGCCACACAAAGACACAACTACGAAAGAGAACTTCAGACCAATATCCCTCATGAACATTGATGCAAAAATACTCAATAAAATACTGGCAAATCAGATCCAAGAACACATCAAAACAATCATTCACCACGATCAAGTGGGTTTCATCCCAGGGATACAGGGATGGTTCAACATACGAAAATCCATCAACGTAATCCACCATATAAACAAGCTGAAAAACAAAAATCACATGATCATCTCACTAGATGCTGAAAAAGCCTTTGACAAAATCCAACATCCCTTCATGATAAAGGTCTTGGAGAGATCTGGGCTAACAGGGACATACTCAAACATAATAAAAGTCATATACAGTAAACCAACACCCAACATCAAACTAAATGGACAGAAACTCAACGCAATTCCTCTAAAATCAGGAACAAAACAAGGCTGTCCACTCTCTCCATACCTTTTCAACATGGTATTTGAAGTTCTAGCCATTGCCATATGACAACAAAGGGGGATCACGGGGATACAAATCGGGAAGGAAGAGGTCAAACTTTCACTGTTTGCAGACGATATGATAGTTTACATCAATGACCCAAAGAACTCTACCAGGGAACTCTTACAGCTGATTAACACCTTCAGCAAAGTGGTAGGCTACAAGATCAACTCAAGAGCATCAGTAGCCCTACTATATAAAGATGACAAAAGGTCTGAGAAAGAAATCAGAGAAACATCACCCTTTACAATTGCCACAAACAACATAAAATACCTTGGGATAACGCTAACCAAACAAATGAAAGACCTGTATTGCAAGAACTTTGAATCTTTAAAGAAAGAAATTAAAGAAGCCATCAGAAAATGGAAAGAACTCGCATGCTCTTGGATAGGTAGGATCAATGTAGTAAAAATGGCAATCCTGCCAAAAGCAATCTACAGATTCAATGCAATCCCCATTAAAATCCCAGCACAATTCTTCACAGACCTTGAAAGAACAATAATCAATTTTGTATGGAAAAACAAAAGACCCAGGATAGCCAAAACAACCCTGTTCAACAAGGCAACGTTCGGAGGCATCACCATCCCTGATCTCAAGCTCTATTATAGAGCTACAGTCCTGAAAACAGCTTGGTATTGGCACAAAAATAGACAGGTAGACCAAAGGAATCGAATTGAAAACCCGGATATTAACCCACACACGTATGAACATCTGATCTTTGACAAAGAAGCTAAAAATGTACAATGGAATAAAGAAAGCATCTTCAACAAATGGTGCTGGCATAACTGGAGGCTGGCATGTAGAAGAATGCGGATCGATCCATGTCTATAGCCATGCACAAAACTTAACTCCAAATGGATCAAAGACATCAACATAAATCCAGCCACACTGAACCTCTTAGAAGAGAAAGTGGGTGGTACCCTTGAAGGAATTGCTACAGGAGATAGCTTCCTGAACATAACACCACTAGCACAGACAGTGAGATCAACAATTAATAAATGGGACCTCCTGAAACTGATAAGCTTCTGTAAGGCAAAGGAAACAGTCAGCAAGACAAAAAGGCAGCCCACAGAATGGGAAAAAATATTCACTAATCCCACATCTGACAGAGGGTTGATCTCCAAAATTTACAAAGAACTCAAGAAGCAAGTCTCCAAAACTCCAAAGGATCCAATTAAAAAGTGGGCTGCAGAACTAAATAGAGAATTTTCAATAGAGGAGTCTAAAATGGCTGAGAGGCACTTGAGAAAGTGCTCAACATCCTTAGCCATCCAGGAAATGCAAATCAAAACAACTCTGAGATACCAGCTCACTCCTGTCAGAATGGCTAAAATCAAAAACACCAACAACAATTTATGCTGGAGAGGATGTGGTGAAAGGGGAACACTCCTCCACTGCTGGTGGGAGTGCCAACTGGTTCAGCCACTTTGGAATCAGTATGGAGATTCCTCAGAAAAATGGGAATAAACCTACCACAAGACCCAGCAACTCCACTCTTAGGCATATATCCAAAAGATGCCCATTCATACAACAAGTATGTCTGTTCCACTATGTTCATAGCAGCATTATTTGTAATAGCCAGAACTTGGAAGCAACCTAGATGTCCCTCACCCGAAGAGTGGATAGAGAAAATGTGGTACATCTACACAATGGAGTACTATTCAGCAGAAAAAAACAATGGAATCCTGAGATTCGCAGGCAAATGGATGGCACTATAAGAAACGATCCTGAGTGAGGTAACCCAGTCACAAAAAGAGAAACATGGCATGTACTATCTCATATATGGATTTTAGACATAGATCTGGGGAGTGCCAGCCTACAATTGCATGGCCAGAGAGTCTGGGAAACAGAAACTTCATTCAGTGGCTGATGGAAGAAGAGGCAGACTCCCTAGCTTAAGTACTGATCTGAACTCAAGAAAGCCAGTAACAGAGAGGGAGGACTGATGACCAAAGGGATTAAGACTGGGCTGGTTTAACCCCCAGAAACAGCTGACCTGACAAAGGTTAACTCTTGAATCCCAGGCATCAGCCTGGGAATCCAGCATGGGACTGATCAAGACCCCCCTGAATGTGGGTGTCAGTGAGGATGCCTAGGTAATCTATTGAGCCTTGGGCAGTAGATCAGTACTCATCCCAAGTATACACACAGACTTTGGACTCCCATCCAACAATGTGAGATGCACTCTCACCCTGAACTCTTGGGGGAGGGTCTAGGCCCTGCCCTGTATGAAATGACAGACTATGGACACCCCCATGGAGGGCCTCACCCTCCCTGGGGAAATGAGGTGATAATAGGGGATTGGGGGGAGGGCAAAGGAGGAGGGGAGGGGGAAGGGAGAGGGACCTGGAACTGACTTGTGAAGCAACCTTGTTTCTAATCTAAATTTAAACTGAAAAATAAATAAAAAATAATTAAAAAATAAAAAATAAATAAAAAACGGAATTTATCTGTGGATTTTTGTTTGTTTTTTGAGACAGGGTTTCTCTGTGTGTAGCTCTGGCTGTCCTGGAACTCGCTTTGTAGACCAGGTTTGCCTGGAACCCACAGAGATCCACCTGCCTCTGCCTCCTGAGTGCTGGGATTAAAGGTGTGCACCACCATACCTGGCTAAAGGAAAAATTTCAATTTTCCCCTTCCCAAGTTTCTATCCCATAACTACTCCAAGCTGTATTCAGACAGTGAGCTCTTACTCCTTTTTTTAATTACTTAAATTTTTTTCATTTTACATACCAACCACAGTTCTCCCTGCCTTCCCTTCTCCCACCCCTCCCCCTCCCCCCACCCCATCCACCCTCTTACTCTTTTAATTAAAAAATAGTTTAATTTTATGTATATGGATAGGTTGCTTTCATGTATGTCTTTGCACCATGTATGTGCTTGGTGCCTGTAGGGATTAGAAGATGATTTTTATTTGGATCTCCCAAATAAAAGCCTGTACTACTAGGGTTAGAGACATGGCTTAGTGATTAAGAGTACTTGCTGTTCTTGCACAGAACCTGTACTTAGATAACAGTACCCACATTGTGGTTCACAACTGGCTTTAACTCCATTTCCAAGGGGATTGATGCCCTCGTTTGACCCCTGTGGGTAGTTTGTGCACATGATGCACATATGCATATAGAGACAAATACTCATACATATGAAAGTATATAGTTTTTTAAAAGCCTGGACTATTTTTAAGTTGCTTGTCCCCTTGTCTTTCTTCCTTCTCATGGATCTTTCATGTAAAACCCATGTAAAAAGCACATGCTTTATCCCACATGTGAGGAAAAGGTAGAGAAAGGAAGAGTGCTGGTGCCATGCCATCTGACATCCTATTCTGGTTTCTGCATGTGTGCACATACCTGTACACAAATACCTCACCCACACATCCACACACATAAATACACTCACAACATACACACACTTTTCATTTTTAAATGTATAAAACTTACCCTGCTGGTGACTGGACCTCCTCAACCATACAGTTATAATGGAGTAAACAAAAACAAGTAAAGGTGAAGGCTATGATCATAATTCCAACTATGAAACCAAGTAGACGTTTCCTAAAATTGTCCATTCCTGATCCTGCTGATTCAGTAGTTTTATCAACTGCAAAAAGATTATACCATTAGAAAATGTGTTAGGTAACCCAGTTTATTCCCACTTTGCTAGTGGTTTGCCACTGCACATTTTAAGTCAAATCTCTTTCACAATAATTTTTTCAAAATATATTTTATGTCTGTGAGTATTTGCCTATGTTTTTGAGTGTTTGTTTGAGTATCTCACTGGAGCGACACTGGATTATAGATAAGTTGTCATTGTGCTCCGCTTTATGTGGGTTCTGGGGCTCTGAATGTAGTCATCACACTTGCACAGTGATTGCGTTAGTTACCCACGGAGCCCTCCAGTGTAATTTTCTTTTCTTGAGCACATCTTGGAGTAGTATCTGTAGCTAATCTGTATCATTATCTACATTACCTCTGGATTATGGGTGCTTATTCAAGTAATAAAGATTTTGTGTGTATGCTGTGCATGGAATGTTACCATGTGAATGTATGCGATAGGAAACAAAACAGGATAACAACACACCGTGGTCATAGTAAATGGTGTATTAGGAACAACCACTACAGAGGCTAAGAGTGAAGGGTCATTTCAGGTCAGGTACTCGAAATAAGCCTGAACAACACAGTAAGAATCTGACTCCAACAACTAAGCCCAAATCAAAACAAACCCATGTTGCTTAAGTCCTCCAGTAGATGTATTCACATAACATTGTCTAGTTTGGGTGGCAGACTTGGTGTGAAAGGGAAGTCAGAGGGGATGGTAACTGTATTCTTTAGGGTCAGAATTTTCACTTAGGACTTAAATATCAGCTATTATACTCAGAATTCTTAAAGACCTCATAATAGATAGTAACACCATTGTAACAGCATATTTCTTTATCTACCACACCTAATGACATGAATCGATAACGTAACAGATAATACATTTTAAACATTAAGCTTAGGCACATACCTGTGGGGGGCGTGGTGGTGGTGGTGGTGGTGGTGGTGGTGGTGGTGGTGGTGGTGGTGGTGGTAGTACTAGTAGTAGTAGTAGTAGTAGTAGTAGTGGAAGAAGAAGACAATTCATCAGTTTGGTTTCTAGTTAAACAATTGATTGTCCAAATGGACAAGAATAGGACATAAATATGAATCTTCATGGCCAGAGTATGGCCGAAGTGTTCCTTTCACTAAGGTTCCTGCTGCATATGACTTGCCTCAGGCTGCTCTTGGGGTTTGTGACATCACTATCATTTGCATCAGACCCTGGCAACATAATCTCACTGTGGTAAAGCAGCAAATTTTGTACACAGATATTATCAAGTGACTTTTTAAAAGTCTGTATTTTTATTTTATGTCCATGATGGTGTGGGATAATGTTCTTGTACACTGTAAAGATTTGTCACTCAGATTGGTTTAATAAAATGCTGACTGGACTGTTGCCAGGCAAGAAGTATGGGCGGGGCTACCAGAATAGGAGATTTCTGGGAAGACAAAGGCAGAGAAGCAGTCACCAGCCAGCCACAGAGGAAGCAAGATGAGAATGCTGTAATGAGAAAAGTTACCAAGCCATGTGACTAAACCTAGATAAGAATTATGGGTTAATTTAAGTTGTAAGAGTTTGTTAGTAATAACACTGAGAAAGACACCAAACATTTTATAATTAATATAAGCTTCTGTGTGTTAACTGTGATTTGGGCCTACATGGATGCAGGAGCAGGTGTGACAGAAACTCCTGTCTACACCACGAATTTTTTGTCTACATGTGTATCTGTGCACCATATTTGTGTATTACATACAAGAAGAAGAAGCAGGTGTCAGATCCCCTGGAACTTGAGTGGCAGTTGTTAGCCACCATGTTGGTACCCTACAAAAGCAGTCAGTGCTTTAGCTTTGGAGTCATTGCTCCAGCCTCCCAAGTGGCATTTAATCATTTTTAAAATAAAATATCTTGAGCCAGGCGTTGGTGACGCACGCCTTTAATCCCAGCACTCGGGAGGCAGAGGCAGGCGGATCTCTGTGAGTTCGAGACCAGCTTGGGCTACCAAGCGAGTTCCCGGACAGACTCCAAAGCCACAGAGAAACCCTGTCTCGAAAAACCAAAAAAATAATAATAAAATAAAATAAAAATAAAATAAAATATCTTATAACTGAAAACAAAATTACAGGATTTTTTGTTTGCTTTTTTTTTTATTTTCCAGTTTAAATTTAGATAAGAAACGAGGTTGCTTCACAAGTCAGTTCCAGGTCCCTCTCCCATTCCCTCCCCTCCTCCCGTGCCCTCCCCCCAACCACCCCCCCGTTATCCCCTCATTTCCCCAGGGAGGGTGAGGCCCTCCATGGGGGTGTCCATAGTCTGTCATTTCATATAGGGCAGGGCCTAGACCCTTCCCCAAGACTTCAGGGTGAGAGTGCACCTCACATTGTTCAATGGGAAGGGTTTCCCCATGTAGCACTGTTTGTCCTGGAACTCAGAGATCTGCCTGCCTCTGCCTCCTGGGTGCTGGGATTAAAGGCATGTTTCCTCACTTTCCAGATTAAACGATTTTTTAATTTTTATTTTTAAATTTAAATTTAAATTAGAAACAAGGTTGCTTCCCATGTCAATCACAATTCCCACTCCCTTTCCCTACCCACCTCCTATGCCCTCCTACCAACCCCCCCCCAATACTGCCTCCTTTCCCCAGTGACACCCATGGGGGTGTCCATAGTCTGCCATTTCATCCAGGACAGGTCCTAGACCTTCATGGAAGAGTCCAGGGTGAGAGTGCATTTCTCATTGCTGGATGGGTACCCAAAGTCCATTTGTATACCCGGGATAAATACTGATCTACTACCCAAGGCTCAGTAGATTGCCTAGGCCTCCTCACTGACACCCACATTCAGGGGGTCTTGATCCATGCTGGACTCCCAGGCATCAGTCTGGGATTCAGGAGCTAACCCTTGTCAGGTCAGCTGTTTCTGGGGGTTAAACCAGCCCAGTATTAATGTCTTTGGTCATCATTCCTCTCTCTTTGTCACTGGATTTCTTGAGTTCAGCTCAGTGCTTAGCGTGGGAGTCTGCCTCTTCTTCCATCAGCCACTGAATGAAGGTTCTGTTCCCCAGAATCTCTGGCCATGGGATTTCAGGCTGGCACTCCCCAGATCTATGTCTAAAATCCATATATGAGAGAGTACATGTCATGTTCTCTTTTTGTGGCTGGGTTACCTCACTCAGGATGGTTTCTTATAGTGCCATCCATTTGCCTGCAAATCTCAGGATTCCATTGTTTTTTTTCTGCTGAATAGTACTCCATTGTATAAATGTACGACATATTCTCTATCCACTCTTCGGTTGAGGGGCATCTAGGCTGTTTCCAAGTTCTGGCTATTACAAATAATGCTGCTATGAACACAGTAGAACAGATGTCCTTGTTGTATGAATGGGCATCTTTTGGGTATATACCTAAGAGTGGAATTTCTGGGTCTTGTGGTAGGCTGATTCCCATTTTTCTGAGGAATCTCCATACTGATTCCAAAGTGGCTGTGTGAGTTGGCACTCCCACCAGCAGTGGAGTTGTGTTCCCCTTTCACCACATCCTCTTCAGCATGAATTGTCATTGGTGTTTTCAATTTTAGCCATTCTGACAGGAGTAAGATGGTATCTCAGAGTTGTTTTGATTTGCATTTCCCTGATGGCTAGGGATGTTGAGCACTTTCTCAAGTGCCTCTCAGCCATTTTAGACTCCTCTATTGATAATTCTCTATTTAGTTCTGTAGCCCACTTTTTAATTGGATCCTTTGGTGTTTTAGAGACTTGCTTCTTGTGTTCTTTGTAAATTTTGGAGATCACCCTCTGTCAGATGTGGGGTTAGTGAATAACTTTTCCCATTCTGTGGGCTGCTTTTTGTCTTGTTGACTGTGTCATTTGCCTTATAGAAGCTTCTCAGTTTCAGGAGGTCCTATGTATTAGTTGTTGACCTCACTGCCTGTGCTACTGGTGTTATGTTCAGAAAGCAGTCTCCTGTACCAATTTGTTCAAGGGTACCACCCACTTAATCTTGTAAGTGTTTCAGTGTGGTTGGATTATGTTGAGGTCTTTGGTCCATTTGGACTCAAGTTTTGTGCATGGCGATAGACATGGATTGATCTGCATTCTTCTACATGCCAGCCTCCAATTATGCCAGCACCATTTGTTGAAGATGCTTTCTTTTTTCCATTGTATATTTTTAGCTTCTTTGTTGAAGATCAGATGCTCATACATATGTGAGTTAATATCAGGGTGTTAAATTCAATTCCATTGGTATACCTGTCTATCTTTGTGCTAATACCAAGCTGTTTTCATGACTACAGCTCTATAATAGAACTTCAAGTCAGGTATGATGATGCCTCCGGATGTTGCTTTGTTGAGTAAGGTTGTTTTGGCTATCCTGGGTCTTTTATTTTTCCATAAAAAATTGATTATTGTTCTTTCAAGGTCTGTGAAGAATTCTGCTGGTATTTTAATGGGGATTGCATTGAATTTGTAGAAGATTGCTTTTGGCAGGATTGCCATTCTACCTATCCAAGAGCAAGGGAGATCTTTCCATTTTCTGGTGTCTTCTTCAATTTCCTTCTTTAAAGACTCAAAGTTCTTGTGATACAGGTCTTTCATTTGTTTAGCGTTACCCCAAGGTATTTTATGTTGTTTGTGGCAATTATAAAGTGTGATGTTTCTCTGATTTCTTTGTCAGCCCTTTTATCGTCTGTATATAGTAGGGCTACTGATTTTCTAGAGTTGATCTTGTATCCCGCCACTTGACTGAAAGTATTTATCAGCTGTAGGTGTTCCATGGTAGAGTTTTTTTGATCACTTATGTAAACTATCATATCATCTGCAAACAGTGAAAGTTTGACCTCTTCCTTTCCACTTTGTATCCCCTTGATCTCCTTTTGTTGTCGTACTGCTCTAGCTAGAACTTCAAGTACAATATTGAAATGGTATGGAGAGAGTGGACAGCCTTGTCTTGCCCCTGATTTTAGCAGAATCGCGTTGAGTTTCTGTCCATTTAGTTTGCTGTTACTTTGCTGTATATAGCTTTTATGATGTTTAGATATGTTCCTGTTATCCCAGATCTCTCCAATACCTTTATCATGAAGGGGTGTTGGATTTTGTCAAAGGCATTTTCTGCATCTAGTGAGATGATCATGTGATTTTTGTTTCTCAGCTTGTTTTTATGGTGGATTACATTGATGAGTTTTCGTATGTTGAACCATCCCTGTACCCCTGGGATGAAACCTTCTTGATTGTGGTGAATGATTGTTTTGATGTGTTCTTGGATCTGATTTGCCAGTATTTTATCGAGTATTTTTGCATCAATGTTCATGAGGGATATTGGTCTGAAGTTCTCTTTCTTAGTTGTGTCTTTGTGTGGCTTGGGGGATCAAGGTTATTGAAGCCTCATAGAAAGAGTTTGGCAAAGACCCTTCTGCTTCTATTGTGTGGAATACTTTGAGAAGAATTGGTATAAGCTTTTCTTTGAATTTCTGGTAGAATTCTGCACTGAGGCCATCTGGACCTGATCTTTTTTGGTTGGGAGACTTTTGATGACTGCTTCTATTTCCATAGGGGTTATAGGTCTATTTAAATTGCTTATCTGTTCTTGATTTAATTTTGGCAAGTGAAAGATATCCAGAAAATTGTCCATTTCCTTTAAATTTTCAAATTTTGTCGAGTACAGGTTTTCAAAATATGACCTGATGATTCTCTGAATTTCCTCAGAGTCCGTTGCTATCTCCCCCTTTTCATTTCTGGATTTGTTAATTTGCATGTTCACTCTCTGCCATTTGGTAAGTTTGGACAAAGGTTTTTCTTTTTATTTTTTTTTGTTTTTCTAATATTTAGCACTATTAAGATTTTTTAAAATTTATTTTCAGTTTAAATTTAGATAAGAAACAAGGTTGCTTCACAAGTCAGTTCCAGGTCCCTCTCCCTTTCCCGTGCCCTCCCCCAACACCCCATTATCCCCTCATTTCCCCAGGGAGGGTGAGGCCCTCCATGGGGGTGTCCATAGTCTGTCATTTCATACAGGGCAGGGCCTAGACCCTCCCCCAAGAGTTCAGGGTGAGCGTGTACCTCACATTGTTGGATGGGAGTCCAAAGTCCGTGTGTATAATTGGGATGAGTACTGATCTACTGCCCAAGGCTCAATAGATTACCTAGGCCTCCTCACTGACACCCACATTCGGGG